CACTTGTATTACTAGCTGGAGTGACCTTTGACCTCTGGACTGAATCAGGGAAACACTGCAGGCAGCTTCATGCAACGTATCTAGAACACAAGGGAAGTTGTCCTACAGAGCGAGCCCAAAACATTCAGTTTGAATATTAGAACGAGTCATCAACAGCTCCGTCCTCACACAGAATCTCCACAGAAACATGGAAAGAAAGGAGGGACGAGACGGAGGTGAAGAACGTGACAACACAACTTCCTGTTTGTTCATCAGTTTTACTGAGCTTCTGTGAGAGGCTTTGAACATTTCACATTGTTTGCTTCAGTAGAACAGCAGCTGAGAAGAACACACTGAGGAACATAGTGACCACTGGCAGGAAGCTGCTGGTACCAGTCTGAATCATACAGAACATTTACACACTGAGGTCCTTGAAGAAACCAGAACCAGTTCTAGCTGATCCAGAACATCTGAGGTCCTTTTTTTAAAGAAGGAGATATGAATAGAGGAGAGAGAGAGGTATAAAGAGAACACAAATCAACATCATTGAAGTCTGCCTCTAGACCTGCGGAAAGAAAAAAACAAAAACAAGACAAAACCAAGAAACCACAACAACAAACAACATATATAATGATACTTATGACATCATTAGAAAGTATTTTATACAGTACATGGTAATACAAGATATATTTAGTGGTCTCCACAACCCAGTTGAGTGTGTATCTGATAAACACCTGGATCTAAACACCTGTGTGAGCATGCTTATCACTATAAGGTTTCTCCATAAAAACTTTCAATACTGGATGTGGGGACCCACAGACCCGTCCCCACAAGACACGATGGTAACAAAGGCAAGACCGGAGCCACAGACACACAGCGGTCCCCAAGCCTGGAGCTCCGGGAGTCCCCCAACAGGGACACCCGCACTCCCCAGAGAAGCAAAGGGAAGCCCTGGGCGATCCCCAGCAACCACAATGCAGAAACCCCAGGAGGCTGCAGCGACGAGTCCACAGGCCCCGCTGGCAACCCGCCCCTCCAGAGTGGATCCGGCCATGGACACCGAGTCCCGAGGTCAAACCACCCCCCAACAGAGGCCCGACAGAGCCAGGACACTCAGGCCCCGGCAGACAGCCACCAGGGCGGGTCTGCACACACCCCACCACCCAGCCCCAGATGCTGAGAGACGCCAATGCACCGGCGGCAGGGGGGCCAACCACCGGAGGGGAGCACAACAGGGGGAAGTAGACCCCACATTCAATGGGGGGCCCAAATTGATCCAAGAGAGGGGATCACCTAAAACCCAACCCGAAACATAAACAGGCACACAGAGACAGCCCGACACATTGAGTTTCTCTGATACTCCCATTCCATATGTTGAGGGAGTATCAGAGAAACTGAGACGTTTATTTTCTAAACATAACGTCCCAGTGGCTTTTAAACCCCAAAATACATTACGGCAAAGACTGGTTCATCCCAAAGATCCAGTCCCCCGGCACAAACAGAGTAATGTTGTGTATACTGTTCAGTGTCAGGAGGGCTGTGATCAGTCTTACATCGGGAAACTAAACAGCCACTGGCCAAAAGGATGGCCCAGCACAGAAGATCAACATCATCAGGCCAGGACTCTGCGGTCTACACTCATCTCCAGGCCAGCGGTCACTCTTTCAGGGATGAAGATGTTCACATCCTGGATAGAGAGGAACGATGGTTTGAGAGAGGAGTAAAGGAGGCCATCTTTGTGAAAAGAAATCGTCCATCATTAAACAGGGGTGGAGGCCTACGTGTGCAACTGTCCCCCTCTTACAATGCTGTGATTGCTAGTATCACTCAGCCCTCTGTGAACAGTAAACAGCCATCAGTGTGCTAATGATCCATTGTTAGGCTGATGGTCCTTCTTGATTATGTGAGTAGCTGGTTTGACTGTCAGCAGCAAACTGGTTGATCCACTCTGAGAAGGTGCTATTTAAGAGACTGAGCTGAATACAGCACCTCAGACTGAGGAAGTCTCTCAGATGAGAGACGAAACGTTTCTACATTTTTTTGCTTTGTTTTTTTTGAATGTCCAGAGGACCAGATTGAACTTTTTTGGATTTTTCTACCTGGATTATTGAGCATGCATCAGGAGATGTTTCTACATTTTGTTTTGTTTTTTTGAATGTCCAGAGGACCAGACTTAATTTTTTTTAGATGTACCTGACTGAGCTACAGACATTTTTGTTTTCTTCTGGGACCACCGTCTTGAATTGGGTTAACTCTCAATTGATCAGACATCCAGTGATTACTTCTGAGAGTTTTAATTGCATTTAACTAACCTGTAGTTCATGATATTTTTGCTAATAGACACACAAACATGGAAAATACACAACTTCTTTAATGTTTTTTTTTTTTTGCTTAAACTTCTTCAGGTTCTGTGAAAACCTGTGGAGCAGCTGCTGTAGACACATTAAAAAGACAGACTCGGGTCCATTTGATCCAAATGTTATATTTATCAGTACAATCTACTGTGAGCTCAGGCTGGGAGTATTTGTTGACACTCAGATCAGCAGATGCAGCCTCAAAAAATCATCAAACATGATTGTCCGAGTTTTCAGTAAAATATCCTCTAAAATTCATTCACATATGTACATATTTATGAAGAAAGAAGAAACAATCTCATTTCTCTGAATCATACATCGAAACATAACACCATCATAGGAGTGAGGGCAAATTTTTGTTGTTGAAATTTTCTAATTGTTGAATAAAATCTGTCAGGAATTTCCATTCCTTTGCCCCACATTTCCACAACAGAAACTGTACATCAAGATGTTCATATATTAACCTTCATTTCTGTGTGATGCTGAAATTACAGCTGTCATTAAAACATGAACAAAAGGTATCAAATCTCTAAATTAAAATAATAAAATCATGATATAATACTGCTGAACAGGAGTTGATGCATGTAAGAATTGGACGCAGTAGCAGAGGCAGATCGTCTCTGGATCCTCCACTGGGGGGCAGCACGGAGTGATCCAGCACCTCCTCATAAGTTGCTGAACAGTTCGTTCCTCTTGCTCCAGTCCATCGCAGGCGCTTTCTTAGCCGCTCGCTTCTGATGGGCACGCTCTTTAGCCTGAGCCAGAGACATGCTCAGACCCAAGGAGGCTGTGGCCGGCTCGGGCTCCGGGGCCAGTTCAACCTGCAGCCACACACACAAACTGTCAGAACCGTGTCTCTGATCTGCAGAACAGTTCCACAGCAGGGAGTTAGTGACTGTTTACCTGAGGAGGAGGAGAGTTTCGTGCGGCTGCAGGCAGGGAGGCGTTGGACGAGGAGTTGGAGGCTGAAGAGCTCACAGACAGTTTGGGTTTCAGCTTAGCTGCTGCCTGTAACACAACCACACACAAAATTAGGAACACCTACAGGTATCTGTATCTCTGCTTCATCATTTAGGATGACTACAACTCCGGTGACATCAGTTTATTTCTATAGCACCAAGTCACAACAGAAATTGTCTCAGGGCACTGCACAAAAACATTCACATACATTTAAAAAGTCGATTAGTAAAAGTTATTATTATTATTATTATCTAAAAAAGTTAAGTCAGGTCCTCTGGACGTTCAAAAAACAAACAAAAACAAAAACTTGTAGAAACGTTTCATCTTTCATCCAAAAGACTTCTTCATTCTGAGGAGCTGTGTTCAGCTCAGTCTTATAAATAGCACCTTCTCAGAGTGGATCAACCAGTTTGTTGTTGACATTCAACAGTTGGTTTTGAGCAGTTGTCCTCCGACGCAAGAGTTGGGGGTCCGAATCCACCAGCCGAAGTGTCCCTGGGCAAGACACTGAACCCCTCATTGCCTCCGATGTGTGTCCCATCAGTGTATGAATGTGATCTAAAGCACTGATTAGTCTCTTTAGAATAATTTGTTCAATTAGCTTTGTAGAGATCTAGTAGAGTGCTGTATGAATGGGTAAATGAGGCACAGATTGTAGTGTAAAGAGCTTTGAGTATCTTGATCAGATAGAAAGGCTCTATATAATTACAGTCCATTTACCATTGACTACAGGGTGTAGTGGAGGGTAAGGTAGTTACACCCAGTTATGGATCTTAGGTCGTTTTCACACCAGATTGTCCGGTAGACTCGGTTCGGGACCAATATTCATGACCTTTTGTTTACATTTGAGCTGGTGCGTTTGCATTCACACTGCACTGTGCAGTTGAGCCAACCTGTTCCCCCGCTCGCCTGTGGGGGCGCTGCACCAAGAACTACTGAAAGAAACGACACAAAAACCTCTGAAGACACGTCTTCTTCTATTGTAAATAAAAACAAAAACGAAGTGGCATCAAGTTTTAGCAGTTTTAGGAGTTATATTTTGTCATTTTTCAAAAATGGACTTAGCATGAGCAGAAGATGAGACAGAAGACCATGGAGAATATTGTTTTTCACACAAGGCAGCTGACGGCTCCATATAAGGTCAGAGAAATGCATGTTTGTTTGTCCTGCAGAGCAGGGTCCGGTCTGTTTGCATTCACACTGTACTCGAACCGCGCTGGAGTTCGCTTCTACCGGACCAAGACCTAGGTTTTAGCCCGGGCCAGAGTTCGCCTTTTTGTTCCATGACAGAGTTCGATGGCGCGTTCACACCTCCATAAACGAACCGGACTTTCTATGAAAACGAGCTAGAGTTTGATTAAAGCGGACTAAACAGGGCTGGTGTGAATGCACCCTTAGTGCACCATGATAGATAGCATCCAACAACTGCAAGGTGCTTGTAGGGGAATTAATGTAAGTAAATAATGTCACCATAGTCAACGGAGAGAAGGAAAGTCACAGTTACAAGGCATTTCCTAGAAGAGTTAGACAGGATCTATTTCATTAAAAGAAACCCAGTTTTACTTTCAGTTTCTTTAACAAGTTTTTGAAATGGGGCTTAAAATTGAGATGCCAATCGACCAAAATACCCAAGTATTTGTAGGAATCGACAAACTCAATAGTCAAAATCAAAAGTCAAAATTTCTTTATTTGTCATACACGACACACATGATACATGAGGTGGGACGAAACTATGTACATAGAGTCCCAGTTACACAAATTATAAAGAAAAACATTAGTAAGATCCGAGTCATGAACTAAGAATATACTACATTCACTAAACTAAGAATACACTAAGCACTAATGGTACAAAAACAATGTGCCAAAACAACAGCAGCACGAACATGAGTCTGTATGAGCAGTTGAGGACTAATGAACACAGCAACATGAAATAATCAGCAGCATGAGATCAGCATCATGGATAGTCAGCAGCACATACAGTATCAACAACCAAGTGGCATTACAGCAATTTTCACAGTCCCCCCCCCAGTAATTTTCACAGTGATTTTTCCTGGTTAGAGATTTATGAGTCTAACAGCCTCAGGGTAGAAGCTGTTCCTCAGCCTAGTGGTTCTGCACTTAATGCTCCTCAGCCTTCTGCCTGAAAGAGTGGGGCAAATATGTTTGGGGCGGGGTAGGTGTGTTTATTCATTCTGAAGTCCACGACTATCTCCTTCGTCTTATTCACATTGATGTGAAGGTTGTTCGTCCTACACCAGCTCTGCCTGTAGCTGGACTCATCATTGTTTTTGATTCATACAACCACCGCTGTATCGTCTGCAAACGTTACAGTATGACAGCCTGGATTGGTCGGTACGCAGTCATACGCTAGCAGAGTGAACAGGATGGGGCTCAACACACAGCCCTGGGGGGAGCCCGTGTTGAGGGTTATGGTGGAGGAGAAGTTGTGGATCTTCACAGATTGTGGTCTATCAATTAAGAAGTCTAGGACCCAGTTACATAAAGAGGAACTTAGTCCTAGTGTGATTAATTTGTCCATCAGGGTCTGGGGAATCATGGTGTTGAAGGCAGATGTGTGAAAAGTCCACAAAGAGCATATGGACGTAGGAGTCCTTTTGTTCCAAGTGGGTGAGAGCAGTGTGGACCACAAAGGAGATGGCATCTTCTGTTGATCAATTCTCGGGGTATGCATACTGATGTTAGCTTTGATGTGGGTCATGACCAGTTTTTCCAAAGCATTCAGCGACTATCGGGGTGAGGGCTACCGGCCGATAGTCATTCAGGCCAGTCACTGTAGAGCTTTTTGGAACTGGGATAATGGTGGCAGTCTTGAGGCAGGTGGGAACTGTTGCCAGGGTGAGGGAAGAGTTAAATATGTCGACCAGCACCTCGCAGAGCTGATCGGCACAGTCTTTAAGCACTTTCCCCGGGATGTTGTCCGGGCCAGTTGCCTTGTGAGGATTGATCCTCCTGAAAGTACTCTTTACTTCTACTGAGATCAGGCTGAGGAACTCTTCTGAAAATTCTTGTGATAAGGTGAGTCTGGTGCTGGATGGTCTGTTTGGGTCCTCAAAACATGCATAGAATCTGTTGAGAGCATCAGGCAGTGATGTGCTCTTCCCTCTTTGACAGCAGCTTCCTGGAATACTTGCCAGTCAGTGTGTTTAAAACAGTCTCTTAACATCGAGTCACTGTTTCTTACCCATGCCTTTGTGTCGGTCTGGAGCTTCTCAGCAGGGGCAGATAAGCAGGAGCCAGCAGGATTGATCAGAGAGTCCCAAGTGGGGGCGGTGTATGGCTTTATATGTGTCTTTCACATTGGTGTAAACACGGTCCAATGTGTTATTCCCTCTTGTAGGATTGGTCACATGCTGATAAAAACTTTGCAGTGTCTCCTTCACATTTATGTGGTTAAAATCACCAGCTACTATATAAAAGCCTCTGGGTGTTTGATCTGAAGTGAGCTGATGTTATTACTTAGCTCCTTCAGGACGTCTTTAGCATTAGCATCCAGAGCTATGTAAACAGCTATTATAAACACCGCCGTAAACTCGCGGGATAATAATGTGGTTGGCACTTCACAGTTAGTTGCTCTAAAGCCTCAGAGCATGTACCATTTATCAACGCACAGTTTGTGGATCAACCTTTATTTATGTAGACACACACTCCCCCTCCGTGCGTCTTCCCCATTTGTTCGCTGCAGTGGTCCACTTGGAAAAAAAGTCTGCCGTCCATCTGAAAAGCTGAATCCGGCATGTCACTTTTTAGCCATGTCTCTGTGAGACAAGAGTCCTGCACATTCATTCATCTCTTCTGAGGCACTCGCGCTTTGTCGAAGCAGATTGATCTTGTTATGCAAGGATCGGACGTTGGGCAGAAAGACAGACGGTATTAGCAGTCTGCCAGACCTCGTGTTAGTTTTCTGCCTCACCAGCATGCAAGCCCAGCATCCTCTCTTCTTTCCCCAGGCACAGTGTCTCCTCTTTCCGTTTGAGCACTGCTGTCTCCACGCTGATGTCCGTAAAAGTTACAGTCTGCCAAGCGTAGCCTTAAAATTGTTGTTGATTGATGCGGTGTTCAGTGTTAAATCGTCTCACATTCTCATCAGTTCGGTTCGGCTACAATTAACACACTTAATGTGTGGAGAGTCAGGTTCGGAGTCAGTCTCAGAACTCCTGAAAACGGATCTCACTGGGAGCCTGTGAATCTGCGGCTGCTCTGAGCGCGGCCATCTTCGCCAATCTTGTTGCGACTCAACAACAACTTGTTGTGATCCAACAAAAGTATAAAATGCAAAAGAAAAACAGTAATAAGATCTAAGATATGAACCACTACACTAAACTAACAATACGCTAAGCACTAATAGTACAAAAACAATACACCAAACAACAGCAGTACGAACATGAGTCTGTGAAAAAAGATGAATACGAATGAACACAGCAGCGTGAAATAAATCAGCAGCATAAGATCAGCAACATGGATAGTCAGCAGCACATATAGAAGCTGTTCCTAATGGTTCTACACTTAATGCTCCTCAACCTCCTTCCTGAGGGGAGCGGGGCAAAAAGTGAGTGTGTTGGGTGAGTGGGGTCCTTCAAGATGCAGGTGGCCCTCTTCCTGCATCTAGAGGTGTAAATGTCTGTGATGGTGGGGAGGCTGACTCCAACAGTCTTCTGTGCAGCTTTCACCACTCTCTGCAAAGCTTTTCTTTTTGCAGCTGTGCAGCCTCCATGCCACACGTTGATGCTGGAGCACAGGATGCTCTCCACTGCACACCTGTAGAAGGAGGTGAGGACTGAGCTTCCCAGACCAGCTCGCCTCAGCCGCCTGAGGAAGTAGAGTCTCTGATGAGCTTTCTTGATCAGGCTGGTGGTGTTGTTGCCCCAGCTGAGGTTGTCATTCAGGTGCACACCCAAGTACTTGTAGCTGGAGACCACTTCCACTACAGATCCTCTTATGTTTGGGGGGTGGGGGGGGGGTAGGTGTGTTTGTTCCGTCTGAAGTCCATGACCATCTCCTTCGTCTTCTTCACATTGATGGGAAGGTTG